CCCCTGTCTGCTGTCTATTGTGTCTCTTCTATTCCCTACCCGTCTCCTGTCCTCTGTCTGCTGTCTATTGTGTCTCTTCTATCCCCTACCTGTCTCCTGTCCTCCTCTGTCCTCTGTCTATTGTGTCTTTTCTATCCCCTGTCTCCTGTCCTCCTCTGTGTGCTGTCTATTGTGTCTCTTCTATCCTCCATCCTTTATTGTCCACTTTTAAGTCTCCTATCCTCTATTTTATCCTTACTGTCCCTTTTCTTCTGTCCTTATCGCTTTGTTTTTGTGTTCGGTGTTGTTTGTTGTCGGGGCCTTAAGGCAACCCGGGAATGGAGGGGGGGGGGTCGGGGGAGCTTCGGCTGACAGACCTGGGACCAGGCGGGCCCTCGAGAGGACTAGTTACAGACGAGGGTACAGTGAACCGAGGGTACGGAGAACCGAGGGTACGAAAGACCTCTATTCCCTCATCTTAGGTGACTTAAAGGCACCTGATATAATGACAAACATTGTAACCTTTTAGGTTATAGATAGATCAATTCCTTCTTCTTCCTTTCTAATTTTAGTGTGTTTTCCCCATATTTTTCAATTTCTGTAGCATTATGTCGAACATTAAAGTATGGCGTTTATAGGTAGATAAAGCTATTCAAATATAACTAGAAATGTTTAAATTGTTAACAGATAGATCAATTTCTTCAAATTTTGCTGTTTTCCCCTTTTTTCAATTTCTTTAGGATTCATATTAGGTAGATAAAGATATTCAAATATAACGAGATGTTTTAATAGTTAACATAAGAAAACAAAAAATGCCGCCCTCACATCAGGTGGAGTTTTCTCCGCTGTCTGCTTGTAGGTCGGCCATTTTTCCTGACTGGGGAGACGGAAGACTGAAGGGGTCTGGTTTCCGCCGGGTTTGCTTCAGTTTTTACCAACATTTTTTGAAACTTAAAAGAACATTAAAAAATAAACACATTTTTGTATTCTTGTCTCAGCCTGCAAATTTGCTTCATATACGGATATAATCTGATAATAATACTGATGATAATGTTATATACTCTATTATACAAGAAAGATGCCGATACGGTTTTCTAGTTTGTTACCGAGGGACAACCTCCCGTATCTCAGTACTCTGTGTGCACATTGTGGAAAACTACATGTAGTACTGTACGGGCTTTTTCAGTTTTGAATATCCAATTCTACATACTGTAAATTCTTCATATACTGTAAATATAATATCAACAACCTGTTATATTTCAGTAGTCTATATAAGAACACTGTTAAACACTACATGTAGTAATGTACGAGCGTTTATTGTTTTGGATATCCAATTCTACATATACTGTAAATGTAATACCATATTCACATATCGTAACTTTTCTGTACTGTACGGGCTTTTATTGTTTTGGATATCCAATTCTACATATACTGTAACTGTAATACCATATTCACATATTTTCTGTACATGTACTTATATTACGACTACTCCTTTGTGCGGTTGGCAATGTTGGGTTGTCAAACTTGTGGGTGCAGTTTTTGGTGGCACTTCTGAGTAAATAAAGACATCATATCTGGTAACCTGAGTGTGTTTTTGTTGTCTGTGTGAGCCTGATACGTGATGTGATTTGAGTCCGTTTTTCATACATATAGTATACAACGCACGATTACAAGTAATGTTGATGTGGACAACAAAAACGGTCATCGCTCGTATTCCCTGCCTTCCTAACAGAAAAGATGGTTGAAATGAGACTTGCTGTAAAATCTTTTCACCCGCGCTGTTTAAGCGAACGCCAGTTGCGACAGTAAAACCACATCTTTCCAGGAGGTAGGAAAGTAAGAAAAACTCTACATGTACTCACCCCTCCATGTTGTCAGTCGAAATGGTGGGAACATCTGATTTACATAACTATAACATAGTCCGACTGTGCCATTTTGTTCTACAGGTAACTCGTAGTTTCCAAAAAGACCCATAGTTTCTTCTTTAGAAGCTTAAGGCTGTAGATACAAGAGTAGAGTAGTTTTCGTCGGCCAGCGTTTTTTTAAAATCATCCCTAACAGTTAGGTAATATACTATGCTACTGTAGAATCGGGTATATTGTTACCTGTAAAATAACTCCATAAAGTAACTTGCTTTGGAATGAAAAAGGAAACAAACATTAAAACAACAAAGACACAAGCACTGTAGCAATACTCTTTATTGCGATTCAACCCTGATACAGCCTGACAGGGAAACGTTTCAAACATGGCAAACCAGCTAGTGTACCATCTATTAGGAAAGTCAAGAGTTTTATAAAGAATGACGATCTCATGTTATCTAAATGAACCAAATCAAATTTAAGTGTCTTTCAAGGTTATCATAGTAACAAGATAACATTGTCAATTCAAAGTATGGATCGATTAATATGTGGTGTGTGGGATTATATATTGGCGAGCTGAGTATATGCTGACTGACTGATACAGAGGAACAATATTTCTTGTTGAATATATTTCTTTTACCAAAACTATAAGTTTTATGATTTCCCACATTCAAGAAAAATTGAGACAGAGTGAGAGTGGGAAGATGGTTTGCTCAAACGTTAACACTTTGTTTTGAATCCTCGACCTGTCAGCTGGGTTAGTGTCCGGCACCTCAAGGCTGGAAGTTGGCAGGACGGACCATCATTTTGGACTTTTTAAGATATGAGCTATAGGAGCCTCCAAACCGGTGCCAACAGATGCCGGCGCCACTTTGACTGGTATGGTCAGAGGGGCGCAGGTACGGGCCGTTCAGGGCAGATCCAGCACAGTGATGGTACCACCACCCTCCCGTGTAGGCAGTCGAGCGAACAGCACACGATCCGCTATGGGAATCATGGTCTGCATTCCTAGCACTAAAGCCCTGACCCGAGAGGTAGCCACCGTATGATGATGAGTCTGATAAGTAGAACCCATCCCCAGCCGTCCCACTGTACCCACCGACAGAAAGGCGATAGTAGGAACTACTACTCCCCACCGAGAATGAAGAATACTTGGCGTACTTGACCACACTGTCCCAATCTTCCATCTCTATGTACAACTCGTACGCGTCTTGACTGGTTAACCGGTACATATTCTCCAACCCCAACCACTGCTCCCCATTGGCTGACCCAAACCCGTACTGAAAGTCACCCCAAGGTCGGTTAAAGTCGATAGACCCGTCAAACCTCCTCTGTATGACCGTCCACCCTCCCCCATCTGTGGTCTGATCACAGTATACAGAGATCGGGCTGGTCAGACCTACAGGCATGATGTCGTGGACACCACTAGATACAGCATTGAACAGGGACAGGGCAGTGTGGATGTCAGAACAGACGGAAAAGTAATTTGTGCGCCCGCTGAGGGCCAGGGAAACCAGGTCTGGCTGAGGAGGCTGGCTGTCCGAGTCGCCTGGATAAGGCTTGTCGTTGTCCGCTTGGTCCTCTCTTTCCACAGACAGTAGCGATTCTGTAAGGAAACATCAAATCTGGGGTTACTTAGACCCACAAGGCACAAGCTTTCCACGTGAGCACGGCATAACTTTTGCAATAGCAAAATAGAAAAGACAACAGGGCAAGCAAATAATGATAAACAAGCAATGAAACTCACAATTGTTGTAATACAGGTACACTAAGGCCGAAAGACAGCGTTTTAACTCCATGGCATAGTTAGAAAGTTTAAAATAATCCAGAGGTTTACAATAAATTTTTAAAAAATCTTAGTTTTAATACCTCCAGAAGGTTATAATGCAGACTACAGGCAATTTCATACATCACATGAACCTGACTAATGTTATCAGCAACGCTCTATGACTAGATAAGATATGTGATCACAATTATAATACAAAAGGCTCGACCCTTTCTTAAAGTACTGTATAAAGTCTAGTCTGAGAAGTATAGTATACAGTGTAGTATGAAAATCCCGCAAGGCTTAACTGCTATGGTGAACAACTGCTGTTGCTAAAGCTACGGTCACAACCCGCCGTACGTGCTTCTGCGTGCTGTCTACGTGCAAAAACGTGGGCAAACGTAGGGCATCCGTGCGTGGTGAGTACCGCCTCCGTACGGAATCCTACGGATTTGGGAGCACGCAGACACGCCGTAGAACTTAAAGTGCATGTAAAACTTTTTCTACGTGCGGTCTACGGATTCACCAGCCGTACGTGCGAGTGCGAGCGACGCGCGTGCCCCGTACGTGCCGTGCGGAAGAAGCACGTGTGAGTACGGCCTCCTTGCGGTAAAATTGCAATCGCACAGAGATCGTACGTTGTAAGCACGTACAACTCACTTACAACTTGCGCAACGTACGATGCACGCAACCGCTCACGGCCAGACGTGGCGTGCAGACCACACTCTTACACTTTGCGCAACCGTGCGAGTGACGTGCGTCGACGCCACTCCTTCCCCACGTTTTCAGAAAAAAAGTAGCAGACGTAACCTTCCAAAAAACGTACGGAGAACGCTGTGACCGCAGCTTAATTGTCGATACCACAACACATTCAGCAAGGGGATGTCATTTTCTTTTACCTAAAAGTACAGATACACAATAATCATAAAAACGCATAATCTTGAGCCCTATATCTAAAACCCGTAAAGCCTTCTGTGAGTTATATCTGTAAACACACATACGCCATATACACAATATTATCCTTAGTTATCCTTCCCTAGACTTAAAAGTCATGCACTAACCACAGATGTCGGGGTCGAGTGAACTGAGCATGCTCCCCGCAGCTCTGCACAGGTCCTTCATCGGAAAGGTGACATCGGGGCTTGGCTTGGTCAGAGCTGTATGGAGAAAATCATCTTATGAGATTAGGCCACACCGATTTAATTTTATGGATGACATCCGCGCGCGCATTGATTTTCGGCTGTTCTACAAAAAAAAAAAAAAAAGAAAGGATCACGTCCTCCCAGGTTCTGGCCTGGCTCTAGGCCTGGTTAGTCCATCGTAGTTAGCGACAATACGGAGGTGGTAACTATGCAGGACGGCACCCAGGCTACCGAAGTTCCACGACTCAAGAACTCAGTACATACCTACAGTGCCGATTCATACATTCCGCAAAAAGCCAGCATGTGCCGGCTTGTCGTATATGTCCCTATGTATCAGCTTTGTATTCCTGTGGTTTAGTGGCATTTTTATTTTTGCCGGATTTTTTTTTATCCGCCCGGGCGCACTAGTTTGGGGTTCTTCAGAGGATGTCATCCATAAAGATAAGGCAGTGTGGCCTTATGAGATCTAACGGGCCCGTCACATATAAGCTTGAAATAACAGCATTGGCAGTGAGTCCCTTCAATCTAAAATATTATATAACAGAGGTAAACTAGAATTCTGGGAACATACCTTAGTATAGAGTTTTTCTCCAATGTACAATTTGAACATAACTTGTAGCATTCACAGAGATATATGATATTGCACTAATGTAGGACTACAATATGATACCGCCCCTGGACCTGGATCGAATCTGGGTCTAAATATTCTGTACCGGTAAATTGATAACGAAACATATTGTACAAATAGATTCTATTTAGCATTCATCACCTACCGATTCCTTGGCATCCTTTCCGTATGAGGCACAAGTCGGAGGTGCTCCATGGAAGGTGCCGTGTGTCCTGCGATGTCCCACAGACGGAGCTGCAGACGGCAGTGATGAGGAGGATCAGGTACAGCATCATGGCGGCGGTCAGGCTGGTCTGGCTACAACCCTGATGTAGGCTCGTATTTAAACCTTCCCTACACCTGCCCGTATTTACACGTCACTTTAGACAGAAATAGCTTAGAATAAACTGACCTTTTGTCTGCTACTTCGTTCCTTCCTTTGTTAAAGTTGACTCAACACCGAGCGAGCCAAATGTACCAAGGAATTGCCCAATATATTTTAGACTGATAATCTTTTTGGCTATTTGTACAGCTATATCGTGTGTGTACTTTACACAACTCTTGTAATTCTACTGGTATAAAAATGATGGTTTGTTTACTTTACATAACCCAAGCACTTCTACCGGTACTTAGAAACAAGTTTACCTATATCAGTAACAACTCTTCCTGATTGTCTACATGTACCTCCTTTCCTTTATTAAAGTTGACCAAACACTCAGTTGAACTTATTTTACCATATACCAAGAAGACACAAAGCGTTCATGCCAGATGGTGGGAAAAGGATTTTATTCAGCACATGGTTTGTAAAAAGAGTCTAAAACGTTACATGTAGGAGCAGAAACGGTCCGACTCCAAACAACAAACGTCCTTCCCGACCTACGACAAAACAGAAAACATCACTTCTTCCTGTTACATGCCGATATTACAGATAACATTTCACACTTGCTATACATGTTATATTTTCTTTCTAGTCCTATATATATATAAACGTTAAGGGTACAGAAATATGTTAAAGTAAGAATAAACAGAACCTATCCGCCCGGACAGTGAGTTCAGCACCAAGGACAGAGCCGGCCGTTTTCTGTCTGTTTCCTTTCGCCTGGCCGAGATATGTTAGATATGGCGTTCAACCCTCCCAGTCCACCGTTCTTTATGAGTAAATCAGCACATTTATCAGCAAGGAACAATCTCTACACAAGTCCAGAAGCGCCATACTTTGTTTTCAAACACAATACCTCCATTTTTCATGGAGGTAATAAACTAACCACATAGTAACGTTAGCTTAGCCAATAAGTTACTGCCGTACTGAACAGTACCCGCCATTTTAGACTCGTTTCTACATGGTCAGTTTCAAAATCTCAAACCATCCCTTCGATTGATAACCCTGTGTGTTCTGTATGTGTGTTTGTGTGTATGAGATGGAAGATCTGATTTTGTTCTTCCCGCCGCCGCCTGTGTTTATGACGCGGTTCTGGAACAATGAGGCCGCCGGGAGATGTTCCATAACGACGCGCCGACCCGTCAACACAACAGCCTCGATGTCACAGAGAACGGCAGCAAAAATCAGCCGCTCCTCACAAAAACGATGGCGACGCTAACCAAGCTCTTTTCCCGATGCCTGTCCCTGTCATCACAGGTGCTGCCCGCTAGGGGGCTCCACATCCCCGCAGAAGGTCCCGGCTGGGACTTCATCACGGTAAAACTTGCCGCCAAAATCTTCTGTTTTCTTCCGTGCTGAACGTTGGTTCAGATTAACCCTGACATTCGGAAACTTTAGTGTACTTCTACCGTCCTGCTATCTTCCGTGCCAACAAACAGACAACCTGTTAGTTTGGGATGTTGTCTACTTTTTATCAATGAACGTTGATCGCTATTATTCTGTGGGTTCTTTGGGGGTAGAATTTGGGATTTTGATTGAAGTTTTCCCCCAGTGTTTGTTTGTTTATTTGTTATCTCGGGAGGTCTTCAGATTCGAAGACATTTACTGTACTATAAACCTGGTGGTGTCGGTACGTCCGTACGGTGTCTACAGAAACTACCTGCACCTGATGTTTTAATCAGCGAACGGTTTGATGATAGAAAAGACGTTTTTATTCCCGATCCTGTTGATATTTACGGGAACGGTTGTTGTTCCTCTCCGTGCGGAAGGGTCTGGGGAGGCTGGGGAGGCAGATTCCGGCACAAGACCAGCCGAGCCGCCGCCGCCCCGCCTGCTCACAGCCCGGCTTCAGTGTCAACGCCATGCTGTACCAGGTTTGTTTGTTTGTTTGCTTGTTTGTTTGTTTATTGATAAAATTTAAACTCAAGTCAGTCTGCTGAAAAATTTCCAGGGACGTCATGAGAGTCAGACAAAATATAACAATAGATAGAAGTTCTGATAAATTCTCAAATATACAGTCCTAGTAAATCTGCCTGGGGTCACAAATACGCTACACGGTTGTAGTTTTTTTTTTATTTATTTGCTTGTTATGCTACCTGTGTACCTTAGGAACTGCACTAGGAAATAGAAGATGTTGAGTTTTTGTCAGTAGCAAAAGCGAAAGTGTTGAACATGAATACGGCCCGCCAGGATGTCTTCACAGTCGAAGCGCCGACGTTCTAGAACACGCGTGGTGTCCAAAACAGCTGTCGACGGAGAGTTTACCAAAGTAAATACAAAATAACAATGCTTAAGCCAAAAAATGGCAAGGAAGACTTTGTTGGTGTTAAGTAGAGTACCTGAGTAGATAGATGTTTAGCGACTTGTTCTGGTGTCCCCCAGGCCGCATTGGACGGCGCTGAAGACGCCCTGAACGTGCACGGCGAACCCACCGGATCTGCACTAAAGCTGCTGGAGGCAGCGGAGGCCTTCAACGTCTCGCAACCTGCAAACTGGTGCCTGAAGGTACGGCAGGACAGGAGCCATGCTCAGGCACGGTTCTGGATGGTCCACGCGTATCCAGAACTGTAACTGTGGCAAATCTACACTCTTGGTAACGCGAAACGTATTAAGAACCGTGCCTGATCCTAACCCTTCTTCTACCATTCACTCTGACAATGTTTCTTTCGTTCTTCTGCGTCTTTCCTTCCACACGTCTTTCCTCCGTAGCCAAGTCATGACGCCAGTTTTACCCCGCCGCCCCCCCCCCAGGGTAAGATCTCCCAGGAGTACAAGACCCATCACGTGAGCGTGTGGGCTTTCCGCAACGGCAAACTTGTCCAGAAGGTCTAAACAGCGCACAGCGCCGTGCAGAGCTGGTCATAACATCTTACCGGTCTGCACACTGACAGCACGGCAAACGGGCAACAACATCGACACCGTACAACGACGGGACAACAACATCTTACACCGTACAACGACGGGACAACATCATCTTACACCGTACAACGACGGGACAACAACATCATACACCGTACAACGACGGGACAACAACATCATACACCGTACAACGACGGGACAACATCATCTTACACCGTACAGTATGAATGGTATGAATGGAGGGTGAATGGGTTAGTGAATGGGTCAGTGGATGAGTGGGTGAATGTGTGAGTGAATGGATGGCTGAATGAATGAATGAGTGAGTGAGTGAATGGGTGGTTGAATGGACGAATGAATGAATGTAGGTGTGGATGGATGAATGCATGAAGAATGGATGGAAGGATGGATGATAAAAATACATAAACCAAAAAAAAGATAAAAACACAAAATACAAAAAATCTGGATCTCTCCATAAAGGTTGAAATAACATGTTTCACCTTTATGCTGTTAAACGTAAACTACTATTGAAGCTATTGAAGGTGCTTACACCCTCAGAATTCCCTGTTTGAAAAACAGATTTTGGGAAACCCTGGACTTGTCCTTGGTTGCAAGAAGATTGTCTTCTTAAAAAAGCCCAAAACTTTGAGATGCAGATTTCTGCAGTGAAATATCTATGTCAGGACTAATGAAAAGTAAACGAAAACCTTCAGAGACCCCCCCCCCCG